CTGGTGGCGCCTCCATGTCTGGCATAGCCAAGTGACCCAGATTGGGATAACGTCGATCTCAGCTTCCCTTACAGGGACGGGGGCGCATTCAGGGGTTTTCCCAGGGATGGCGACGCCCGCAGGGGCCTTTCCACAGCTGTGGCGCCTTCAGGCGCCCTTCCAGAGACGGTGTCTCCCCCAGGGTCCCTCTATGGGGCTCCACTGCCCCCAAGGAACCTGCCAGGGGATGTGGCGCCCCTATGGGCCCTTCTAGGGCCCGTGGCGCTGCTATGGGCCCTCCTAATCGCAGTGGGTGCCTTTCCAGGGACGGCAGGGTCTCTGCCAGGGGCGACGGCGCCCCCAGGGGCCCTTCCACATGCGGCATCGGCCCAAAAACTTCATAGTTTTGTCGTACATTTTGCATTCGTCCAGTAATCCCTTACTTAACTGTGATTGGTGGAATAAGAGGCAACGTCATCAAATTACAGCCAATAAGAGAACAGAGCAATCAGTCAGCACAACACCCCAACTTATGCTTTGCTGTTGGATATTTATTCTCATTTCACTATATAAATTCTGGGAGATATGACGTTAAATAAATACACCGCCCATCGCATTTTCAGTATTATCGTAACCTGAACAATAAAAAGGAGAATAAATAAATCAATTGTTTTGGGGCGCCGCCTCCCCTAGGAGGACCTATTGTGAGCCACAGGCCTTGGCAGGGTCCCTGGGAGCAGTGGCGCCCCATAAAGAGGTCTTGAGGGAGCCACCGCCTCTGGAAGGGCCCCTGAAGGCGCCACCGCCGCTGGCAGGGCCTCTGGGAGGGCCTCTAGGAGCACCATATTCCCTAGGAACATGCCTGGAGGCGCCCCCGTCCCTGGAAAAACCCCTGGGGTCACCGCTGTCCCTGTGAGAGCCCCTCGGGCCGCCAGCGCCACTAGCAGGGCCCATGGATGTGCCGCCGTTTCTGTGAGGGTCCCTAGGAGCGTTGCCGTCCCTGAGAGGCCCATGGAAACTCGGCTGTTTCTGGAGGAACCCCTGAGAACGCCGCCTTCCTTGAGAAAGCTTCTAGGATTGCCGTTGTCCCTAAGAAAGCTCCTGGTGGATCCAGCGCCCCTGAGAGGTCCCCTGGGGGCGCCGTCGACCCTGACAGGGCCCTGGTGGCACCTCCGTGCCTGGCATGGCCAAGTGACCCTTATAGGGATAGCGGCGATCCCAGCTTCCCTTACAGGGACAGGGGCTCCTTCAGGGGTGTTCCCAGGGACGGTGACGCCCCCAGGGGCCCTGCCCCAGCGGTGGCGCCTTCAGGGGCCCTTCCAGAGGCGGTGTTTCCCCCAGGGTGACTCTATGGGGTGCCCTTGCCAGGCGCTACTATGGGGCCTCCTAGTCGTAGTGGGTGCCTTTCCAAGGGCAGCAGAGTCTCTGCCAGGGGCGACGGCGCCTCTAGGGGCCTTTCCACATGCGGCATCGCCCCAGTATCATCGTATCCTGAACAATGAAATGGAGAATAAAATATCCAACAGGAAAACGTAAGTTGGGGTGTTGTGCTGACTGAGTGCTCTATTCTCCTATTGGCTGTAATTTGGTGGATTTACATTCTAGTCCACCAATCACAGTTAAGTAATGGATTATTGGACGAGTGCAATATGTACGACACCTCCATCAAATCTCTGTGGGTTCCGCCGCCCTTTGAAGGGCCCCTGGCGTCGCCACCGCCCCTAGCAGGGACCCTGTTGCCCCTGTGAAGGACCCCACCATCCCCAGAAAGGCCTCTGGGAGCCCTGCCGCCCCTAGGAGGGCCCATAACAGCGCTACTGCTTCAGAAAGGGTCCATGTGGGCATCACCACGCTCAGCAGGGCCTCTGGGAACGTGGCTGTCCCTGGCAGTGTCCTTGGGGGCGTCGCTGTCCCTGAGAGTCCCTGGAAGTGCCCTTGGCCCTGAGAGAGCTCCTGGCAGTGCCAGCGCCCCTGACAAGAGCCCCTGGGGGCGCCGCCGTCCATGGCATTGCACCTTGGGGCGCCACTGCCCTTCAGGGGGGCCCCTGAGCGCCCCACTGTCCCTGGGAGGGCCACTGATCGCGCCGCTGTTCCTGGGAGATCCTCGGGGGGTGCCAGTGCCCTGGTAGGGCCCCTGGGGCGCTGCCGTCCCTGGAAAGGCCCCTGGGGCGCTGCCGTCCCTGGAAGGGCCCCTGGGGGCGCCGTCGTCCCTGGGAGAACGTCTGAGAGCGTGGCTGTCCCTGGGAGAACCAGCGATCCTGGCGGGGTCCTTGGGGGTGCCGCCATGTTTGTGAAGGCACCTGGGAGCTCCGCTGACCCTGAGCGAGCCCCTGGGGGCGCCACTGTCCTTGGGAGGGCCGCTGAGAGTGTGGCTTTCGCTGGGGAGTCCCTGGGCGCGGTAGCGACCCTAGCAAGGTCCTTGGGGTGCCGGTGATTATGGAAAGACCCATGGCAGCGTCGCTGTCCCTGTACTGGCTTTCTGTTATGTACTGTTCGCACTGTAGGTATGTACTGGGTCTCTGTTATGTACTGTTGGCACTGTAGGTATGTACTGGGTCTCTGTTATGTACTGTTGGCACTGTGGGCATATACTGGCTCTTTGTTACATACTGTGGGCATGTACTGGCTCTCCGTTACATACTGTGGGCAAGTACTGGCTCTGTTACGTACTGTGGGTATGTACTGGCCCTCTATTACAGACTGTTGGCACTGTGGGCATGTACTAGCATTCTGTTACAGACTGTTGGCACTGTGGGCATGTACTGGCTCTCATAAAACACACTGTTGGTAACTTAGTAAACAGATTAAGGCAGTTAAGGATTTAACCTTTGACGCCCTGGCATAGGTATGAAACAGTGCCGTAGAGGTACTTACCCGCCTGGTGTACTGTCTGGTCTCCGACGGTCAGTTGATTGAAAATGTCCAAAAGTAGGCCACCACTAGCACTATGGCACCTCAGCTACCCTGAGAGAATAGTGCCTGCAACTGTCTATCTATCTATCTATTACTAAACAGCGGTAACCACCCATTAAGTTACGGTAATTAACATAATCTCTTCATCTATACTTTTCCATGTTAGGTTTTCTTAGTTAATGGTTTAATTAATTTGAAAAGTATTATATTATTCTTAGATAAAAGCAAATTTAGTAATAATTAAGTATTTATTAGATATAATTGAGAAAATCAGTAATGCAGGGCAGCCCTGATTCGTCAATGCATGGCTCTTTCCAAAGCTGAAGAACTTGGAGTACTTTACAGTACTCTTACTTTTTTTTTTTTCTGTAAAGTTTTCCTTATTGTTTCTTTTCTACACCACGATATAATTTACCAAACTGACTTGTGGAGTCGGGATATGTGTGTGTATTGGCCAAAGTAACATAGATCCCCAATTGTGGAAAGTAGTAATACTTTACTTTACTTTATGTACACGAACAATCTTGTGATGGGTATTTGAGCAATGCTATGAAGTGCTAGTAAGTTTTGCAGCATCTCCAAATGGGGAGGTAGAAACTTGGTTAAATTCAATAGTAATAAAACTCAGTACTTACCAATTACTCTTTCCAAATTAGATGATTTCCTACCAATCACATTTCAGGATGCAATCATTTTGTCAAATTCTAAAATAGATATGCTAGGCTTCACCATTTCCTCTAAAATGTCATGGAAGGGTACAAGATTCAGGGAAAATGTGCATTATTCAAAAGATTGACAATAGAAGGCAGAGACGACCAAGAAGATGGAAGGATGGGGTAAGGAATGTACTTCAAGTGCAAGGATGGATATCCAGGAGGCATGAGCAGTGTTCATGAATGAGTGGTTTTAGGGAAGGACATTCAGCACTAGTGACAGTGATGCTGGCTTGGGTGAAGCAGCAGGGTAGATACAGTATTTGGGCCTTGTTGTCAAAGGGGAGTCTTATAGCCGCACACATCTGTTACAGCAGTAAGAATAAATGAATGACGACAAGAGAGGAGATTATGAATGTATGTGTGTGGCTTCCAATTTGGCCACCCTCTCCTACAGTGGATATACTGTAACCTGTAAGACTACAAATAAAATGTATGCAGCATCCAGTCAAGTTATACTTGAACCTAACATAATAATTTTTAATAACATTTGTGTCTGATCTGTTAGAGTGCCATACAGTTGCATCCCTTAAATAGATAGGCCTGTAGAATAAAGTCGAAACACAGCACCACTGGTACAGTACTGTATTACCACTTTTAAGGTTTATGTAAGAACTAACATGGACAGTTATGAAAACCAATAATTAAACCAATACAGGTGCTCCTCTACTTATCAACATGTTATGTTCCTGAGGCTTGTTCCCAAGTACAATTTTACTCTTGTAGATACTGAACATACAGGTATTGTAAACAATAAAATATGTACAGTACAGTACAGCTGTGTCCCAGCAATAAATAGAGCACATTACTCAGTATATCTTCCCAGCCTTTAACATTATTATAATGTATAAATAGTCAATTGGATATATGGACAAGTATGTTTGTACAGTACTGTATCTCTGGAAGGTCATAAATTGTGAGTAGAGGAGCACCAGTAAATACAACTTTATAATGTGGTTGGCGCCAAAATGAAATACATTATAAAAATCAACATACTGTACATAATATGTGCTACATTTTCTTATTCCATATCCAAAGATTTTTCTGTAGATCATAGATTTTGTAGTCTATTCATAATATTTACTAATTCCAATCAAGTGACTTGTAACCAACTGATTAAAAAAAGTACCATATAGAGAAGAGATAGCATAAAAACTTCTGATAGAGGTATTCCACAACAGAACGGATACAGTACTGTAAGGAATCACTGTACACACATGCTTACTACCCCTCAGATGGCTGCATGCATTTTGTGGTATTTTTTCCATGGTACTTCCCATTAAAAAGAAGTTACCATAAAAAATTTACATTGGTCTTATGAATCATGACTCAGTGATTATTATCAATGTCAAATGTAACTGCATATGTTATTGGGAAGGAATAAAACTTGTGATGCAATCTCAATTTTCATAGGGTCTACATTTAATCAAATTCAGAAGAAAATAGTAATTTTTAGTTAAAGTTAAATTAGTTTTTTTGAACATCACCCTTGATTAGAAAGTTTCTGTACAATAAAATCAAGAGACTTTCTTATAGCAACTAAATTATTGTCTATGTTCTCAAGAACCCGGTTCCCTTCACGCTGTACATTTATTAATTCCTGTTGTCTCTTCCACTCTCGCCACTCTCGCCGTGACTCCTGCTCCTCCGCGTCATCAATTATTTGCTGCTTTATATGCCCTTTGACTTGTGTTTGAATAGGAACACTCTGTTCTGGGTATACTTGATCATGGTTTTGAACTGCAGGTATTAGAATAATTTTAGGTGAACTGTGCTCATCAGTTCTTATTCTTTTTCGACTTGGTTCTGGAGAGGACGGAGGGGAGGCTAGAGTGGAGGCTGGTGACAAGGGGCTGGAAGAACGAGTCTGAGAGGTTCCCGGCAACATCTCCTCTAAGGGCGAGACTGAAGACTTTTGTCTAACGGCATTCATGTTCCCCATTAATTCATGCATTGCCTGAAATGAAGCAAGGAATTAGATACTGTTCTGTACATTTGCCTCAAAGAATTTCTTTACCTGTATCGAAATACGGTTATTTCTAAATTATTTTACACACGCGCATGCACGCACGCACTCTCTCTAGCTGGTACACCACTGCCATACAATATTCGCACATGTGTCTTTCTATTGCTAAGCCTTATCAAAGTTTTTATCAACCTGACTGTAAGACTGGTGACTATTAGATATTCAATTGACAGTATTAAGGGAGAACTGAAGGTGCCTATATGATGATTGGGAAGGCGTACTAAAGTGAATAAATGTGACCGGGTCTGAAGGTTATGATACTTACATCTGTGTACGATTAGTAAACATAGCTACCTTGGGTATCAGATGAAAATATATGAGAACAATGATCTGGGAAAAAGATAAATGTATCAGACATGTGTGAAGTGTTGGAACTGACCCATAAACTATACTCCATGGAAAATATCTTATGTACCTCAGTGTGAACTTAATCCACATCATTACCCCATGTGACAAATAACCACGAACAATGTAATGATTTGAGAATCTTATGAAAGTGTTAAACAGTTGAAAAGTGTGGGGGAATGAATCATACATAGGGAATAAAGGGAAGTGGATATACCCAAACAAAGAACCAAGGCTTTTGCTTGGTCTGGCTCCTAATTCGGCCGCGGCTACAGTTTCGAGGTGATGAGATAGACAAAGTAATTTGCCAGAAGCTGGCTAACCAGACACTTATTGTAGTATGTAATTTAGAATTAAGGTATGTAACTATAAGGCATAAAGTCACAATATAAGAAAGTGTATGTGTGGGGGCTAGAAATTCAAGCATTGGCACCAGTAGGCCTATTCAGTGTGAGACCTGGAGACTCGTCCTCAGTGACGCTCGGCACCTCATACACGCTGGTCAGTACACTACAGCTGGTGCTACAGCAGAGTACTTAAAGAGGCATATCTAGCACTTTAAATACACCCTAAAGCCTTGTCTAATGTTATTGTAATATAATAAGTTAATTATGAGGTTTTGTAATGTTGTGTATTAATACACAGGCTCATCAGGCCAGTGAACACATTTGTTTACACTCAGTGATGCTCAGCATCTCATACATGTAGGTGTGCCCCACCTGTGAGTGGAGGGAGACCAGTGAGGTTGGAGAGAATGCTTGGCCCAGCAACCCCTGTTCTACTTTGAGGAACCCACCTCATGTTGTGGGTAAAGCTTTTGGCCACTATGCAACCTCCACTGTGGATCTCTGGACATCTTGCACTTCAACACCCCGGTTGTGAAGAAATGATAGTGCTATTTGAGGTGCTCATGGTTGCCACTTTAAGCGACCTAATGATGCCGGACGCAGAAATAGTCCAGGTATGGATGCCTGGGAAGGATCTCATCTACCTAACAAGAGTAGAGTGTGAGATAGGTACCTCGTGTGTGTACCTTGATGCTAAGAATGAGCTGCAGTACCTGTATGTACAGCTCCTCCCCGACTTAAAACGGGGTTAGGGACCCAAATCCAGGTCGTAAGTCGAAATGGTCATAAGTCGGAAATGCTTAAATAATACATAGAAAATCTAAAATGGGTGTCTCTTTTTCTTCTCAGCACCACAAAACATTTACTTTTAAGCTTGCCAGCCATTTTAAAGTGAATTACAAAAATTTTTTTTGTCTGTGTACTGACTTTGGGACTCGAAAATACGTAATTCTACGAAATTTTGGTACGGCTGAGGCAGGTCGTAAGTGCGGGTGGTCGTAAGTCGAGTAGGTCGTAAGTCGGGGAGGATCTGTACTGTACTGTGTACAGTATATTATCAAATGTTCCTTATTAAGGGTGACGTTGAGGAGGTTGATGCTATTGCAAGAACGAACTAGGTAAGGAGGTCCATGATTTTGTGTGGAGAGAAGACCTTAATTAATTATGTGGAAAGGGTCGGACATTTTGTGTGTGGTGCAGTGACCTTAATAATTGCTTGGGGAAGGTCAACTATTTTTATATTGTGACTTAATGCGATATTTTTAATTTAGGAAATAAAGTAATTAAATTCTTGGTTGGTGTTTCACCCTTCCTTCCACTCTCAACTTGGTTAATGAAAAACATGAACTCACAGTGCTTGGATTGCTCTGCCAGCTACCTAAAGAACACTACACATACTGTCCTGTGGTCTGGTGACAGCGACTTTAAGTTAAGAAGTAAATTAAGTAGCCCTCGGATTAAGTGACCACACTAAAGGGCAATACATGGTCAAGGTGCTAATGAATGCAAAAAGCTCAAAGGGAGACCTCTAGGTATGTGACCACATGGTGTCACCCCACACCATAGCCTTCACGGCTTCACCCACACAACTTTTTTACTTTGGTTTATAAGTAATTAATTAAAAGATATATTACAAGCTTGCTAAAGACAATAAAACTCTTTGTTTGGGGCAAGTAATGACTAATGATGTTACTTGAGTACAGAACTCAAGTAAATTTATTTAGTTATTTTACAACTCTGCTTTTCATATGGGTTTGCAGATTTGATGTATGCAAATTAGAGATAGGTTGCCTACATTACTAAGACTTCTTGAAGACCTATTAAATGACAGGAATGCTGGAGTGAGCCGGTGATGGTAGAGGATTCTTAGCCCAAATAAATGTTCACTTTACAGTATAATGAAGTTGGTAATTATGAGATATTCTTACTAAGACAAGTCAGTTATCTAATTTACTGCAGTCAGTCAATTTTGACATAGGAATTAATTGAAAACCACCACAGCTCAGCTTGAAGACTCGCACTCAACTCCAGCTTCACATTATGCCCTATAGTAAGGGTAAAGAATACATTAATTCATGATTTTGATCTTTCAGACATTGTTTGTTTTTTCAAGGAGCGTGAGGAAGGAAAAGCAAATTTCCATAAAATTTGCAAGATTAATCTGTTCTTTGTAAATCTAATGGCAAACAGTCTGAAAACCCACTTGCTGTAGTATTTGTAAAAAATCTGTATATATACTGGATTCTTCAATCCCATACTAGACCACAAGCTGTCCGAGATGAAAAGATGCTTCAGCGATGAATATTGTATGTTCTGCAATGAAAGCAATACAAGTACTTGATCCCCAAAGTGTGAATTTCTTGGGTTATGAACCGACCATGACATGTACTGTATATTACTTGTTTACACTGAGGCTGCCGGGCGGTCACATCCCATGGCTGCATAATGACATGTTGCATCATATATATACCGGTATCTGTAAATGTCTTTCACAATCCAAAACTTTACCAAATGTTACAAAAATTGTAATAGCTATGCAGTACAGTAAATAAATCAAACTACAGTATTTCAAAATATCTCTCTTATTTCAAAATTTTACTAAATATTAAAAAAAATTTTAATATAGATTTTGTAACAGCAAAACATTATGAATTAAGAGTGATTTCGAATTTGATGGGAATGAATTATGGGGGTTTTACTGTACGAAATTCACTTAACGGATGGTTTTCAAGGAACCAAACCCATTCATATAGCGAGGGGTAACTGTACATGAAAAAAATATATTAATACTGTACCTATACAGTATCTTAGGGGGGGAAGGGGGAGATACTGCAACCACTACTTAAATTATTTTTCTATACCCAAAGACCTTACCTCAAAATATTCATGTCTTCTTGTAATGGATTCTTCCCCATAGTTATGCATCTTGTTCAGCACATTCCTGTACGTTGATGCCAAGTTATGCCACTTCTTCTCTACTCTGTATGCACTAACTTCATACCCATACTCACGTAATTTTGTACTAGCATCCTCATACAACATTTTCATGGTATATTTTTTGTTGCGAAACTTTGGCCAAAGGTGACGTATTTCTGAGAGGAGAAGGTGGACCATATCCCTCGACCATTTTTGATAAACTTTACCTGTAAAGAATAAGTTTTGTACTAACACATATTGGTATACAGTACATTATAATAAATATAATCAATGGTTGGCTAATGTAACAATACAGTACTGTACTGTATACTGTGAAAACTTTTAATCTCCCTAAAACAATAGGAAAACTATATCTCTAAACTGTAGCTTGGTGAGTGTTGCTGCCCCATCAGTGTGTTCACCACCAATTTTTGCCAGAGTTTAGTCAACAGGTTAAGTAGGAACCTCCAATTTCTTTCAGGTATTAATAGAATTTCTTGCCCTTTAATGATATACAGTAGAAGTCCAAAAATCCAGACTGCTTGGGGATTGGGTTGGTCCGGATTTTCGGATTTTCCGGATTCTCAGGCAGTACTTTTAAAATTCAAATTTAAGGAGGAATAAAGAAGAGATGAACAGGTACATTTTGATAGTTTATTCATTAGCAAATATAGCATACTTCATTTATCAAAACGAGCAGTTTTAAGGAAAGAGCTGTGAATTGTAGAATTTTATTCTTTGCCTTTTTTATATCATAAATTGTAGACTTTCCAATGTCGTATGTTTCCATTAGAACAGTATTGCTCACACCACGTTCTAGTTTCTTAATTATTTCAAGTTTGTCACTCAATTTCAACGTGTTCTTTCTCTTCACACAACGAAGTTTATCTACTTTAGGAGCCATTATTATGGGCTTGTATAGTACATGTACTCTGTAAATGAAAAAAGTAGGACTCAAAATTACATACATTGTCACAGTTTGATTGCTCGTTTTAAAGTGGCGACCGCATGGTCGCTTGTTGTCGCTATGCAGCTGTGGCACTCACGCATGCACACATACACACAAAAGCCCGCTAAATAAAAAAAATAAAAAAGTTAAAATTTCCTAAAAGTCCGGATTCTCGGGTGGTCCGGATTTCTGGACTTTTACTGTAAATAAGGTACAGTGATCCCTCGGTTAACGAAATTTCGGTTAACGGATTACCTTCCATAAGATTCTTCACTTCGGTTAACGATGCTAACCCTCGGTTAAAGAATTCCTTACGAATTGTTCCCAACATGTTTTCGCCTGCATTTGGCTGCCCACCAGCTGTAGTATTAGTCCGCCAATACAGTAATCGGTTTTAGGGCTTAAATTCCTTACCATTTTAGTATATATTAAGAAGGTTGTACTATTCAATAATTTTAAAAGTTTCATATTAAATTTTTAGTCATTTTAACAATTATTGAACATAATTGAAGTACAGGAAGCTGGTTTTTTGCGCGCCAAACAGCCACTCAACACACCAAGCTTAGCGTCAGTTTGTTTAGCAGTTCAGAGGAAGGAACATCTTGTTTGAGACTCTTCAACACAAATGCTTTTTTCTGTGTTTCCAGTCAAATTATTGGTCATTTTGAAATATATTTTACATATTGATAATATATAGCACAGTGCAGTGTTAATTTAAAGAAAATAATCTTGAATTACACCAAGCGAACTAAAATTTTATGGGTGAAATGGCAGCATGGGGTGACTTCTCTTCCACCCCAATGCCTTCTCTTCTCCCTTCTCCTCCACCCCCATTCTAATTCCCATCATCATCATCAACCAGGAGCCTTCTACATGCACACCTCAAAGTAAGTGTACTTTACTGCATTTGTTTTTAGTTTGTATGTAATTTTCAGTGAGCTGGAACCAATTTCCCAAAAACCCATTGAAACAATGGTTTCGGTTAAAAAATTTTTCGGTTAACGAGCAACCTTCTGGAGCGAATTGTGCACGTTAACCGAGGGACCACTGTATTATTATCGTTTCAGTCATTCAGCAAGTTTTAGGATTTTAAGTTTTGTAATCAGTAGTTTAGACAATTCTAAGATTTGTCTCTTCTGTAGCATTTCTTCCACAAATTATTACTTTCCGAGAAAGCCGTAATAATTTATTGATAAATCATCTTATTTTTTCTAAGTCCATTGTTTATGTTACCACCATCCGAGAGAGCTCCTGTGTGTTCGTTTGTTGGTTACTATGCTGCATTACACGTGTGCTCGAGTCTGACGCATGCATAGTTGTTCTTTGGATGTTGATTGATGTTGATTGGTACGTATTATTTTATATCAACCAATCACAGCTCGGTATAGGCTCCTGGTACCACCGCTTGAATTTGAATGAATTTCCATGATATCTTCCTTGTGTGGTGGCTGTGATCTCGACTACTTTGAAACCATCACCAAATTTTACATCAAATATTACGGTAAAGATGAAGAAGTGTGGAAATTTCTACACGAACACGGTGTTCTACCTACGGAAATTACTTGCACAAAGCGTAACCAGCCTTGTAGTTACCGAGCTGAAAAACACCTTCAGTACTGTGGGAGAAGAACTGTTATTCCCAAGTCTAGCAAGAGAAAGAAGTGCAATTATAGTCGAAGTAGACGAGTCGCAATTTGGCAAGCGGAAGTACGAGAGGGGCCGTGTCTGTGGAGGGATCTTAAGGAGCAACTGAAGAGGCCTGGGAACAAGTCCACGTATTTTAAACAGTACTTGGCACGCTACTTGTTCCATCATACAGTTGAGCGAGGACAAGCTTCAACACCAGTTTTTCGTCACTGCCAGCACGCTCTATCCCCCAAGTCAGAAAAACAGCGGCCAGTGCGATCTGTGGATGACGAGACGGAGGACCCTGATGACCCCGACTCTTCTAGGTCTAATTAAGGGAAGCACACGGTTGGATAGGTTAGGTTACTTTAGCCCTCAGCTGTGTGCGGATATTATTTCGCTGTTTGGACATAGGTTAGCCAACTGAGTGCATGCAGTAGGGTGTGTGTGTGTGGACATATTTACACCATCCGAATATAGGTTGGTTGACTGGGTCCACGCAGTAGGTTAGGATAAGATAAATTTGGTTAGATTGCATTTGAGAAGCTGTGCTGTGACCGATTTTTACCAGTTAGGTTAGGTTCAAATTATGTTTTTCCCATGGTTTTTGATGTGTTTTGAATGATTTTGACCTTCAATTCTATCGCAAATTACTGCTTTTTGTGATTTACCCCCACCCAAAACCACTGGTTCTCACTGGGATCCGCATTATCGGTAAAAATAAAGGTCAGAATCGTTCAAGACACATTAAAAACCATGGGAAAAACATAATTTCAACCTAACCTATTAGATAGATGACTGAAAAGATAATTTTACCATAAGTAATTAGCCACAAAATCATTATAAGTGCAAATTACCAATACTCATGTCTGCAGAAGAGGCCACCAACAATGAGGTAAACTCCAGTTACGTAGACACTGCCATAGTTGTTAATCAGTTGAAGTTGCTGCTATACAATTCTCCTAACTGCTGCAGTACAGTGCCATAACAAATCTGTAAGATGATAAAATTCAAAGATATTAATTATGCACTAACTTACAAATATTGTGTAAGTCTCAAACACATGTACACTTTATCAGGTGAAAAAGTTGTAGGCCTAATGATGAATTATGAAAACCTAACACTTATTTATGTAAATTATTTAATTCAAGTAGACAGTTAAGGTAATTTTGTATACAACAGTCACAAAGGTTAACCAGGAACTCTCAAGACAATTATTATAGAAGATAACTTATTGTTTACCTAAAAACACAATAGTAGTAACATAACTTGAGAGAGATGAGATGAACTACCTAACCTGACCTGACCTGACCTAACCTAACCTAACCTAACCTGACCAGCCATCATATGTCTACATGTATTCCGTGAAGACAAATATTAATATAATAGTGTGGGTCATTCTTCCTTGTTCTTTCAAGTTTAATGTGTACGGGAACGTCACTATTCTCGCCCTTGAATCACAGATCAAGTATCATGGACCTGGTGAACGAGGTAGTTTACCTCAACTGCTGAGTGCACACAATTCAGATTTTGCACCTCTGGTATCTGCAATTCCCTCTTATTCAATCTTATAGTGACGCTTACTAGACATATGTACAGTATAATCCTTCACCAACACAGTAGAGGAAGGTGTTAACAGGTTATAGACTTAAAAAAAAGTCTTATTCTTACCAAACTGGAAACAAGGTTGGTGTTGGAACGCGGCCACAACAACAACACGGCTGATGTTCACTACTGTACCACTACCACACACACACACCTCCACTTACTGGTTTACTTAGTTATTTAGTATAACATGAGTAAAAAAATTATGTAAAATTTAAATACAAAGTATTTTTTTCTTAAATTAGTAGATTAAAACGTTATTTATTCATACAAAAAAATATTTTATTATTTTTAGCTGTGGTGTTCCTGTAACATTAACACTGTTCATGGTAGAGCTGTGCCTGTGACCCCTGAGTGATGGGGCGGGCGTTGGCCAGCTACAGGTATAGACACTAGACTGAGTATTGACTACCCTGAGCCATCTGATATGTTTATACACCTTAATTAGGCCACCCCTTGCGCCGGGGTAACTGAGGTGTTGAAGTGCAGGTACCAGTCTGGTGACCCTCCTTTGGGCCAAGTGTGAGCTTCCCTACGGCCAGACTTGACAAACACTGGTAAAAGGTTCCTATATACTCAGGAACAAATTCATTCCCAATACTAAAACGAATTAAACTCAAGCATACTAGCTATGAGAGGTGTGAATATTCCTCTTCATGGATTATACTATATACTTTATAAGGCTTCAAAGTCGTTTCATTTCAATGTGGACACCTTGTGTTAGCATTACTGTGGAATGACCACGGTTGTACATGTTAGCGTAAAATCAGACGATTCATATTACGCTTAATAGCCCATAAAACATGTAGCTATAACTTCATTATTGAGTCCCCCATCTGAGGCGTCCGTTTTCTCTCGAGTAGTACCGAGACTCTGATATTCCTTAGTATCTTATGTCATGTTATAAAATTTAAATTTGCAACAGAATGCGCATGAGTTACTTTAAGTTAGATGTGTCTACTTACAGATGAAACATTAAAACACCTGGGTAAACCATATCATTCTTTAACATCACCTCTTAGTATAACTATTGTACTTATACAGTAGACTACCACCACCCAGGCTTTTATTTAGAATATAACTTCTATCATTAAAGTTTTAGGTCGCGTGGAAGACGAGCTCAGGCACATGGGTTACAGTGTTTATTTTCTGAGAACAAATTGTTAGAAGAAAATGAGAGAGCGGTGATACTCACAATCTACTAAATCAATATTTATTAATATGAAAACTCCTGGAGTGGTGAAGAGGATAAAAATAAAAGAGTCCTTGAAGCAGAGGAGGGAGGAGTCGATGAGGAGCCGGGACGGACGTACTTGGGTTATAAACAAGGGGCGGGTAGTGGGAGCAAGAACGCCTGCACAGAACCAGAGGATAACGAGAGTCGGGACACCTGCCATCCGCTCTACCTCCCACCCAGGAGGGGGCGAGAGCCATGTGAACAATGTCATCTATGATCACACCCCTCAAACCACAAGGGATACAGTGAAAGAGGCAACTGCAGAGAATAGAGGAGGGACGGAGTCAATACCAAAACCAGCGATATTACAGAGGACAATTTCCGGCTTGAAAGTGATGTACGCTAATATTGACACGTTCCTCGACAAGTTTGTAACACTACTGAGGGTTGTACAAAAACAGGAGAATCGAACCGGATGAATGTGAGTTCAAGAAAGATGGATATGAATTCATTTACGAACCTTTCCCAAGAAACTTGAAAGCGCCAGCCAGGTGAAGGTGCCGGGAGAGGGTGTTTTCGAAGAATCTAAGTGGTGTAAAATTAAACTGAAGGGGAAAGACTTACTCATTGTTGGATGTATCTACAGATCCACAAACTGTAGTGCATTAAACCAGAGAAACTTAAGACATTTAATTGACAATGTAGCGGTGCAGAACCCTAGCCACCTTTTTGTCATGGGGGGACGACTTTAATTATGGCGATATCGACTGGAGAAATGAATCAACGCCAAATGACTTAAATAACAGAGCCATTCTTTTCGTAGAAACTCTGAGAGACAATAATATTCCAACATGTTAAAGATCGAACTCACTACACAGGGGAGCAAACACCCAAACCACTGGACCTCATCATAAGTAACGAGGAGGGTGTGGTGGTCAATCTGGAACACCTAGCCCCAGTTGGTACCAGTTCCCAAGTAACGTTGTCCTTCAGATTTAACTGTTACTTGTTTCATGACAAAACCAGGTTCAGGTTCAAATATTACAAAGAAAATTACCACAGGATGAGGTATATGGTATACACTGGCCTGACTTAGGAAGGAATAAGAACACAGATGCTACGTTGAATATCATAGCCAGTAAAGTGAACCATTCGATTGATAAATATATACCCAAGACCAAACCCAGTGCCGCCAGGATTACAAAGAGACCGCTACACGTGAACCATGCGGCGGTCGACAAAGTTAAGAAGAAAACTCTGGATTTCGAGACGTGAGTTAGGACAAATTATGAGCAGGACAGGGGGATGTATGCCAGGTCCAGGAACCAAGCAAAGTCAGAGTGAAGAAGGGCCGAAAAAGAGTTCCAGAGGCAGAATGCTAGTGAAGTCAAGTCAAACTCAAAGGCGTTTTACCACTACGCAAAGTCGAAATTAAAAACGCGAGTAGGCATTTCTAACCTGAGGCTTGAAGATGGTAGGTGTGACACTTCTTAACAACAGAAGTGAAGCTGATAGACAAATGTGTCTTGTATCACTCAAAGTTACAGCTAGAATAGGTTAGGTTAGATTAGTGCTTGGTACAGCGAGCCTGTTTACAACAAAGTCAATTGAGAATTGACATTTGCAGTAGCTGTGTGGTAGATAGATAGATAAATATTAATTCAGTAAAATTATAATAAAATTTACATAGGTTCAGCATACAGTATATGGTAAATTGACACTGCAGGTACTGTACAGTATACAATGCATATAGAATAAACATTAGAGTATAGGTATACAAACAGTGTACATAGACAGTATAGGTATACAGTGTACATAGACAGTATTGGTATAGATTGTACAAGTACATAGACAGTGTAGTTAGACAGCGTACATAGACAGTGTAGGTATAGTGCACATAGATAGTTTAGGTATACAGTACAAACAGTGTACTACACGGACTGTTAAGTGTCACCATATTAGCGAGTTAGTGAGTCACTTGATTAGCGACTCACCAACTTAAAAATATACTAGATATTAACGAGTCACCAGATATTAACGAGTCACCAGACATTAACGAGTCACCAGATAGTAACGAGTCATCAGATATTAACTAGTCGCCAGATATTAACGAGTCACCAGATAGTAACGAGTCATCAGATATTAGCTAGTCACCAGATAGTAACGAGTCATCAGATATTAACGAGTCACCAGATTTTAACGAGTCACCAGATATTAACTAGTCACCAGATATTAACGAGTCACCAGATATTAACGAGTCACCAGATAGTAACGAGTCACCAGATAGTAACGAGTCAACAGATTTTATCGAGTCACCAGATAGTAACGAGTCACCAGATAGTAACGAGTCACCAGATAGTAACGAGTCAACAGATTTTAACGAGTCACCAGTCACCAGATAGTAACGAGTCATCAGATATTAACGAGTCACCAGATTTTAACGAGTCACCAGATATTAACTAGTCACCAGATATTAACGAGTCACCAGATATTAACGAGTCACCAGATAGTAACGAGTCACCAGATAGTAACGAGTCAACAGATTTTATCGAGTCACCAGATAGTAACGAGTCACCAGATAGTAACGAGTCACCAGATAGTAACGAGTCAACAGATTTTAACGAGTCACCAGATATTAACTAGTCACCAGATAGTAACGAGTCACCAGATTTTAACGAGTCACCAGATATTAACGAGTCACCAGATATTAACGAGTCACCAGATATTAACTAGTCACCAGATAGTAACGAGTCACCAGATATTAAAGAATCACCAGATATTAACGAGTCACCAGATAATAACGAGTCACCAGATATTAACGAGTCACCAGATTAGCGAGTTACACTATTAGTGAGTCATTTACTTCAACACTCAAGCTAAAGACTAACGGCTTCAAATTCAAACTGCTGTCTCAGAAACTCGTTAACTGCATTAGAGTTAATCGTGCATAAGCATCTCAACATAAGTGCCGGTAGTTGCAGCCTCTCGTAGGGTGCTGCCCTCGCTTACTCGTATTCAACAAGTAATGTAAATATGTCGAAACAGATCTTGATTATTCTATGCCGAAATTAGTCATGAAATATTGGAATGTTATTGGCTGCCGTATTACAGTAGATTACAAACAAATTAATTATAATAATTATAACGCTATTTGAAAAAATTAAAGCATCGATGTTAAGTAATAATTTCGACGTAATTCACTCACTGTTTCATTGTAAAATTGTTAAATCGGAATTGGGTTTCATTTGCATACAACGCACACCTGGTAATGATTTTTATTATATCAATACCAATTCTTTTAATTACATAATTACAACTAGTACCGATGTATTTTCAGAATTTAATTTAATAAAATATTAAACATTAAACGGTGCCGTTAAATTTTATTTCCTAACAACTGCATTAAACTTATATCACTCTGGGTTCATCATGTTCTGGCGGCTCAGCCCAAGTAGGCCCTAGTCTTAATTAACCCCAACCTAACCTGAACTGACCATCAGGGTTAGCGGCCATTAGTAGTGGAGACAACTTGACTCGCCATCCACGTAATTTGTAGTAGTTGAATGAGGGTGCGCCAAGTCCGTAGACTTGTTATCGATAGCATTGTCCCAGTAGAAAAAACTGCCAATACAGTACGTGTGGTGGTTGTCTGGAACCTTTAAGAGACTTTACTTCACTAGTGACAAGCTCCATTAGTAAACCAGACTGGTGTGGTCTTGAATTATATATAGCTCTAATAATTTTCGTCTATAGCCTAGAGATATTTTGATCTGCATCAGCGACCTCTTTGAGGAGGAACCCTGATTCACCGAGAACCTTTTGTTAAGCAGAGGGCGTACAGGTGGCACGGGCGAGATG